TCATTAGTATAATACTGTAGTTATGGCCACACGTACCTGCTTGGAGTTCCTTGGAGAGTTCGTGTAAGGTTAGCAGTCTTGCAGTGAGTGAGGCACTATTGCACGTAGCAGTCAAGTACTCAAAATCGATTCTATTCACAGTGAAAGGGAACCATGGTGGCAGAAACGCTGATACTACAATAAAACCCACAGTTAGGGTCAAAGAAAGACTAACAGCAACATGGTAGTTCGTGTTGCTACATAACCATTGCTTAAAGATTGCAGTTGTTTAATATTTATAAAACTGATCTATTCTACCTTGTTAAGAAGCTAATCTTAAGCCCAGGTATGTAATGGTGGGTGTCCAGGTAGCTAGTGCGCATGCACACTTGACTTTGGTATCTCATAATTATGACTTAGTAAGTCGAAATTTTGACTTTTTATCTCATAATTATGACTTAGGTAAGTCGAAATTTCGACTTTTTATCTCATAATTTTGACTTAGGTAAGTCGAAATTTCGACTTTTTATCTCATAATTTCGACTTAGGTAAGTCGAAATTTCGACTTTTTATCTCATAGTTATGACTTAGTAAGTCAAAATTTCGACTTTTTATCTCATAATTATGACTTTGTAGATCAAAAATAAAATTTTGTACTGGCGGAAACGGGCTTCCATATAAAATAGTGGCTTTTGTCATGACAACAATTTTACAACATTTGTAAATTATTAATGAAATGTAACAGATCGAGTATCAACATATATTGTAACATTTATTCCAATAGCGTAGTAGTGGTTTTCACTGGGAAAGCATTATTAGTTCAGCTGAAGTCTCTGGAAAATTAAATAAATTCAACTCAAAGCATATCTGTATTAATATTCACATCCATATGTCACATAATTGGCTAAAACAGATGTACTGGAACTAGTTTTGCATATGGGGGAACATAATCTGTGTTTATTTAAGCCTCCTGTGACCCAGCCTTATTGAACAACATTGGCAGCAGTGCAGACATATTAGCTTCTAAAAGGTTTTGAGCGGGACTGACCTCTCTAACCAATCAGAGATTTTCATATATTTTTTGCTTGATCAGTACGTTTTGTTGCATTCTCATTTCTTTAATTTCATAATAACAAATAATTGAAGAGCTGGGCAGAGTGTGGTATAATATAGCAGATCGTAGTACAACATAGTGGAGCAGGGAGTGGGAATGGTGGGTGGAGCAAAGTGCATTGATTTGGAGTTTCATGCTAGTGCTACCTTAAGTTACATACTGTAGCTTTAACTACTGCCTTTAAAGGGAGCTGGTCACAATAACTCTATGTTCTATGTTTCCCAGGTGTGGAGTGGCATGACCATGATGTGGTTCAGATAGAATATTCACAGACATCGTCATGTCTTTCTGGTGATCCAGACCTGTACTGTACGGTTTTCCCAGTACCAGGGCCACGGAGATTGCTGCCATGGTAAACCACAAGGCCAGTCAAACTAGGCCAGACCTTGGATACAGAGAACAAAGATAGCAAAAACCCATGTGTTCTTACAATTCAAAAGCGTCTTATGCCTGCTCAAACCTTATAATAGCTGTCTGCTTTTTCCTAGAAGCAAGAGCCGTGTTTTGTACAACATTCTCCGATTAAAGTGTTTGGATTCCAACATATTCTTGGAAAACATTCCTATTTTTGTCTGAGTGCCAGAGGTGGAACAGACATCTACAACAAAGGTGAATGAGATATAACTGACTGTAAACCAGGTACTGAATCATTACTTGTCACACATCCTGTTTGAACATCTTTAAAAGACGTTCTTCACTCATTATTTTGATAAAGCTCTAAGGCTCACCTTTTCTGATCAAATGTTTCTTAATACCAAACTTATCCTTAAAGACAGTATTGTATCATTATATGTGTTTCATCTCCTCTAAAGTTCTTGTAAGAGACTATTGATGCAGTGGAGCTGAACCGTCTCCTTTTGAAATGCTCACCTCAAAGGTGCCGAATCCAAATCTCTACACGATTGAGCTGAGCCACGGGGACTTTATGTGGAAAATCAAACGCTGTTTCAGCGCTTCCAAGCTCCACATCAGGAGCTGCTGATGTTCAAGGCTCTTCTAAAGCTCCCCCTGCCAACCTGTATGTAAGAACTGCTAATTTGCTCACCTTTTGCCACTCACTTACAAATGCAGCACATGAAACCCCCACACATGCGCACTTGCAAACTTACACACAGATACATGCACAACTGACTTTAAGCAAGAAACCTATTTTTACCCGCTGCCCTGAGTGTTCATTTCTCAGCTGATGGTACTCAATTTCTTTTCAGCTCACTCTCTCATTTCCTTCTGTTCAGCAGTTTGGAAAGATACAACATGTTCTCACAGACAATGGAAATTCATTTCTATAACAAGCCCAGTGAAGGGTTTCAAAAAACAGCTTCCAGCTGAATAAAATCTAACAGAGTGTGATTAAGGCTACACTGATATTGGGCTTTAGAACAACTGCAAATCCGTTGCCACTGTAAGCTCAATTTTAACAAAATACTGTTTATTTTATTTTATTTTATTTTGGTAATTCAAGAAGGTGGATAGCATGCACATGAAACCCCAGTCTACAAAGAAAGAGGTTGTACACACACTGAAAACTGCAAGATCCCAAAACTTTGATGGTGCATTAACTAAGATTTACACAATGCTTGATAAGTACAGTTAAAATGGGACAGGACAAGGTGTCTTTCAGCTTACACAACCAACCTCCAAGACACTCTGCTGCCTACAGCCCTTCTGCTGTTATTCCAGTTTCTCTACCCTGTTGTCAAAGTATGGTCTGTAAATTAGCCCCACCTGACACCTTTGAAAGTTGTAAAAATAGTTTTTCAAACCACAAGTATGAACAGCCAGCTATGAGGTGCTCTTGGTAGCTAAAACTCTAAAACAGCAGCTGCCAGCTCAAAGCAATCATGTTCATTTGCACAGAAAGAGTAGGACAAAGAAAGAGCAAAAACATCAGGGTTAACATCAGTTTGGATTTTTAAGATGGAGACTTATGGAGAACACGATGCAGCACAATGTGAAATTCTCTCCCATTCATTTTCAATGAGACATGAACAAATCGCTTCACAAAGTTTTTTGGGATTCTAGGTGACATGAAACGAGCTCGACCAAAGGGAGGGGATCAGAAAATAAAAATGTTTAACTTTATGCAAATGAAGGTGAAATTTAGGTGTAGCGAATAGCTTTAATGGGGCATGACTTATTTGCTTTCAGTGGGTCATCAGCAGCCAAAGGTCTCAGATTAGATTCTGATGTGGCTTTTTTCTTCCTGGCTGCGTTGGCATCTAAAGCTAACGTGTTTGTTTTGGTAACATTAGCAACCTAGCATGGTCATGGTGTTACCTTTGTGACAAATTAATTGGGAGAATTTGAGCTTTGTGTAACATTAGTGCTGTGTTAGACCGTCTCGTCAACCTCATCATTTGACAGTGTACCGCTGCAGTGCTGCCATAGAGCCAGGACTCTAGGCACTTCATGATAGCTTGCACCTGGCGGATGCGTTTTGTTCAGTTTGTCCCAACCAGACATCTATAGTTTACATTGTTGTTAGGAAACAAGACATCAGTTCTAATGGTTGAAAATAAATGAGTTAATGCACCTTTAATGTTGTAAAGTTCACATCAGGCAAATGTAATGTTTGAGTAAAAACCTGAGAGCTGTTAAAATCCTGCTGAGTATTATCTAGTTCATTCTTTTTTCTTAAATGCATCTCAAGACATTTAATGGCTTAACATACATCTCTGGTGGAGAAATGTATGCCATAGAATGTAGTACAGCCTTTATATAAAGCAATATTAATAATAGTGTTGTGATTTAAGATTTGTAATGAAACAGTTATTAGACTATGTATGCCGAGGTGACACACACTGTCAGACAGATGCAGCTGGTGGAAAATACCTTCAAAAGCACAGCGTACAGGATCCATCCAGCAACTGTAACTGCAACTACTTACAGTCAAAGCCTTGCCTTATAAAAAAAAACAAACAAAAAAAAACACATAAATCCAGTCAATTATATTGAAGGTGGGCCATCTACACTTTAATTAGATGTAGAAGTTAAAGTAATTTCATCCTTGTCAGAGTTCTGTGGCCTGTATGAGGAGGGTCCCTTCACAGAGGATGGTGATGGAGAACACCTTGCATTAATGAGGGGAAACACAGCAGGCAGAAGCAAGGAAGCTATCACTTAAAGAGTTATGATGGTGGCTAATATCCACTGCCTACAGAAAAAAGGAGTTGAGATGACACATTATAATAATAATGCATAAGTGCAAAGTAAGCATCTTGGAGTAAAACAAAGTCAATTTGTTCTTTAAGAATATGTGGAACAAATGGTAAGTGAAGTCCTATTTTCTGCTGAAATGTTTGCAGCTTCATTAAACTGCCAATGTGTCAGAGGTAACTTCATTCTTTTCAAAGACTGAAAAAGAACCTGGCCATTGCAGTTTCTTTTATTTAAACCATTTCCTTTCAGCAAGAAAAGTAGGTGACTCTTTTGTGTATTTCAAAAGTTGTTGGCAGTGTCTATATTTTGCCTGAAATCATTGGAAGCCAGACAGTTCTCTTTCATAAAGGAACTGATGTCCAAACAAATGTTGGTACAATACAACCTGCATGTTACTATTGTGGATTGAATATGTGGAAGAAATGGTATGATTGTACAATAATCTGTTCATATTAGTTTGCAGCTCAAATAGACATAAAAGCCATATACCATGCAGGGCCCATATTCACATTGCCTTTGTGATGTCTTACATCTGGGTTAAAATAGACTCTGATTTCAACTGTTGTGCATGTATGAATGTAGTTCTTTGCACCTTTTAGCTGGCTGGTGGTGAAGGAGTCTTTTCTTGCTTACATGAAGCCAAAGATATGTTGATCCTATATGATATAGGCTTTCACATCAAGATGAACACCCAGGAGACGGGTGTCCATCACAGAGACACCATCGAGAACCTCTGCAGGCAGCCGTGTGTTCTTATTATATTTACATTTTGCTGTGGTGGCATAGCACACATTTGTGCTTACTTAATCCTTACTCATGCAGAGCTCACTTGTGTGGTCTGCTCTGCATCGCTGTTTACATACAACAAATGCCACATCCATATTATTTGGGGCAAAGCATGCTGTTTTCATCCAGTTGTAGTCACAAAGATGTCCCGGACTAAAAACAGCATAATATAATATACTGTTGTTGTGTGCACTGTAGGCATGGTCCCTTGCTTTTCTTTTAGGTAATGAAACCTTTTTAAAAATTACAGCATGCACAGCTTTTGTCTTCTCTAAGGGCACTACCACTGACGTGCTTCTCTCCCTGTCAGCCCCACGATGGGGTGCTTTTATTAATTAACTAAATCATTAATTCTTTATATTTCTTTAAAGTTCAGGAAATGCTTTGACTTTATGGAGAACCACCTCCATCAGAGAGGATAGAAACACAATGAATCATTTTATTAATAATAAATTCTGTTTAGCAGCAAGCCACTGAAAAGAGAATGCATTCCATCCAAAAAATGCATAGACTTCATGACAGTATGAGCCCAAATAGAATTGTTACAATAGGCAATAATGAGACATTAATGTGAAAGCTACCTGACTAAAACTATTTTAATTGGAGTTAAGTAAAGCTACAGCATGTAACTTAACATAGCACTAGCATGAAACTCCAATAATATTAACTAAACCTCAGACATTCAACAAATGCAACTATTTTTCAACACCTGCGGCCGTCAACAGTCCACCCAGACAGAGATAGAGATTAAGCCATGTCCAATTCCATTAGCTTTCCTGATGCCTCCACAGGTGTCTGTGGCCCTGCCTGCCATAGTGATGGACCCATCATAACACATCACAGCTCAGGGTGGAAGAGTGGCACTACCCAGCTAGCGTACAATACACTGTAGGCTCCTGGGCAAAGAGATGGAGAGGATATTCAAGACACTTGGTGCTGGTTTGACTCTCCAAGGGCATGGTAGAACATTTTGTCTGCATGTGACCCCACACTGGGTTCTTTCATACAGAGGTCAGGATTTAGACCAGAAGAATGGCTTGGTGATTTGAAAGGTCAAAGGGGGATTGTTAAAAAAAAAAAAAAAGGATGTGTGATGTGTGAGACCTGGCAGTGGTTAGGCTGATTTGTGCTCTACTGTGGTCCCTGCTGTTGCTGTCTCCCTGGTGCTGCTCACAAAAGTGTTACGCCAAAAACCCTCTTGTCGCCATTGCACTCCAGGCCCCAAAATGATTGACACCTTGTCACATTATCTTATGACAGCGCTGGTGGAGAGAGTATCGAGGAGTGATACTGGGAAGAGGCTGGGGACTTGCACACAGACACACAAACATGCACACACATGCCTGCACGTACACATATGTACAGCAGGCACAAGCCCTCAGGACGCCCTAACGAGCTCCAACACACACCAGCTGGGTAATAGTAATATATCTAGTCCTTGGTATTTGTGTGCATACTCATGCTCTAGAGGCAGAACTGACCAAACACTGGAGAAGACTGATAGATGGTCGCAGATGTTTTGCACATCGTGTACAACACTCCAATAATTCAGAGATGTGTTGCTTTAGGCAGCAGGTATAGAACAGTCCACTGGTTCCCATCTAAGATGAACATCAGTTTCTATAGCTGGATGTAGCTCCAGGCTTTCATTTATGACATTTATGGCATTTTGTACGCAAGAGATGTTCTACTGTAGCAATATAACATCTCTGGCATAGTTACCAAGAACTGGTATTATTTTAACACGTACTGTGAAACCTCACAGTGTGACCTCACACCAAAATACACTAAAGAAATTCTCTGTTATGTTTGCCAGTGTATGTTAAGGCTAGGGTCTAAGTAGACCAGACAGTAGTAACCCTTTCTATAAATGGGACTCGCAGGATGCCATTGCCTGCAGTGGCCCACCAATGTTTGTCCACATGTGTATGACCCTTTCGAGAGCCAGGTCAGGGCAGGCTGGGTGAGGATGATGGGTGTCAGACCAGAGCGCATGTCAAAGCCCAGACATGCATCTTTCAGCTGGTTGACATTGAGCTGGGAGTTAAGAAGAATCTGACTTTTGAGTTCCTCTTTTTTTTAAATCAGCGAAACACATTTTCATGCACCATAGTTTGCTGAATGTTAAACTGTGTACTTTTTGTAATTGTGTTTGTGAGACAAAATGTTTAGTTCATACACACGTACCACTTATAAGGTCAAACCGGTCTTTGGCAGAGAACCTGAACATTCAATTTTAGAGTAGTCCCACAATTATTTGGCAGGTGTGTTGAACAGAGTCAGGCCAATATGAAGTTCCTATTAGCATCTGAGGCCCACTTTAAGGGTTAATATCCATCCACCTTTATCCCTCACACTGAGAGGTGGAGGCTAATCTCTCAGGGTACCCCTAACCCCCTATTGCCTGTCTTTCCATTTCCTACCCCCCTTCCTTCTTCCCTCTTTTCCCCTCTGGAGGCCTGCATTAAACATAAAGACTCTGCATGGATGAGTGATTCAACAAATTACCACAGCCAATAAATGGGGAAAAAATGATCCGCCCCTCTATCT